TTTCCTCTTCATCCCACCTAGCTAAACAGATCGAGTGCTTCTGTAATAATTCAGTGTTACTCTTAGAAATTGGAGACACCCAATCACAAGACTTAATGTTGCCAATGCAGGTTTAATCACTGACTACCGTAATATTTCTTTTGGGGAGGGTCTCAATATTCTTCACCATTTTCTCCTTCCTTAGTGGCCCTGGGCAATAGTTTCTAGCTCTCTCTCTCCTTAATATACTAGCAAAAACACTGCCCCTGTCTCAGAGAAGGTTATAAAAATGCCAATGGAAAATTTTATGTAAGTCTGCGGACACCATATCCCCAGAAATGATCCACCTCGCCTAGGAAAAGCAAACAGCAGAGAGGAGAGTGGTAGTGGAAGTCAGGCCTGGGAGAGGGCTGTGGAAGTGAGGCTGGAGTCTAGAGGTAAGGCTGTGGTCACGCCAAAACACCCTTCCCCGTAAATATGGATGAAGCCCGCTGGTACCCGGCAAGCCTTTTCGGCTTCTCGGCACTGGACAGTATCTAAGATACTGCTGCTTTCCCTAGATTCTCAAAGAAAATCCCCTCGGATGGGATGGCACTGTAGGCAGCCCAGCATTTTGTTTTCCATGACTCACTGTACCTGGGCCTGAACTGGGCTCTCCGTGAGCTTTTCACCGTGGTCATGTCTACATAAACAAGTCAAAGAGGACACTGAGTCATGAGCTGAAGGGCTTGGGAAACTTTCAACAGCAGAAAAATTAAAGCACCTACGATAATTTCCTCGGTTAATAATTTGTTTCTCGGTACATATGGTGGATACAACAGTTACAACCAAACTACCAGGGCTGTCCTTCACCCTCCCGAAGGCGAAACAGACAAACGGTGAACATTGTCTTCTCAGATTCCACACTGTCTAGGTCAGCACATGTGATAAAGCAACCAAGAGCGGCCAGAATTTATTGGTGAGATGGTGATAAAGTGAAGGCCACATTTCCTAATCACTCTCACATCTAGCTCACAGAAATGGGAGAAACGGATGTGTTTATACAAGTCTTCAGCCTGTCCCGTGGGCCCAGTGGCCTGCGTGTTCAGTTCAGGTGGGACGAGACCACACAACAGGAAAGGCAGTTACAAGAATTTCAAAAGAAGGCATCTGCTGTGTGAGCAGTGCTCCGCAGAGGAACCACTTCATAGAAACGTACCAAGGGCAGAAAAAAGATGAATATTTATATAATAGCCTCTTCTGCCCTTGCCTCTCCACTGGCTCTCCCACCTCCCAAAGCAAGGAGTTTGGTGACAAGAATGACACTGGAGGCTGTGGCAGTCAGGGGACTTCATGTCCCTAAGAGGCAGAGGACGGGGTATAGACCCAAGGAATCACCCTAGGTTAGGGTTCTAGGGTGTTGCCAACTTCAGGATAAGGAAAAGAACATGAGAGGACCAGAATGCTGGAAGGTTGTAGGTAACTGGTATTATACGTTTGATTTCTTTGAATGTTTGCCAAGAAATGTCAGTAAAGATTTAAATTGCGTTTTAATTACTCTTTACTCTGATCTGGGTTCCTTCTAACTGTAGCTCCACGCTGGGACAAGCTACGGCTGACTCGCCTTAGCTTGCGTTACAGATAGAGTGGTCTTAATCTTGATGGAGACTGGGGCAAACCCAAGAAGTGGATTGGACTCAAAAAGGCCTCGACCCACAACGCTGACAGCTCCAGGCTCCCCTAGAGTCTGCGACCTCCCTTGGTCTCCTTAGTCAGTCAAAACCTCCCTGTTGGGTTTCATTTGCAAACCCAAGTTTTCTAAGCTGGCAGCACAGTAGTGCAAAGGATTCCATCCTGGACGGACGGGAACTGTGCTATGGGTTTTAGGCAGGAGGCTCCACCAGCAGCCCAGATGCTCTAGCAGTGAGCAGTATGACAGGAAGCAATGCCATCCACAGTTCAAGCGATGGGTGTGTAGGTGTCAGCAAACATTTACAGGATGGAAAGACTTTAGGCATTTTAGCATGTGGTAGAGAGTGGCTGTCTAGCCACCTTGAATCATATCCTGCACCCAGGGGAAAGGTGGGCCCAGTGTGCAAACAGAGAGAGCAGATGGAGTCTCCCCTGGTGGAGCCCGGAGAGCATGACTGGGTGGGAATGAGTGGCAGCCAAAGCAAACAAACCCCGGAATGCAAAGCAGTGTGTCTCTCACTTATTTGCTTTCAAAGTCAAGGTTATGTTTCTGGGAACTGTAGTTACTCACTGGGATGTGTGCCTGTTCATGAGCTGTGAGCTTACTCCTTGTTTAGTTTTGCTACATTATCTGCTCACCTGCTTTACAAATGTCTCTGAAATTCCTAGCCACTCCGAAAAGACCATGGTTCCTGGATCTGAATGATAATCGAGCGGTTGGAGTATCCTGCTTTCTCTTCCTTTGCGTTGAACCATTTATTTCTAGGATGTAGCCATAAAGACCCACCATTTACAAAGCTGTGTGAGACGGTGGAAGGAAGAGGCACATGATTTTAGCTGGCCTCTGGTTGCTTAGGTTGCATAAGGAGGAAATAAACGGCACAGTACACAGTAGTGTGTGCCTCGTGGATGTAAGCGTTAGGCGTTCTGAGATAGTGTGGTGTGATGGAGGGAGAGGCCGAGATGTCCTGGCTGGCGAAAGGTGGGAAGCAAGGGTGGATCTCCACAGGAAGAGCTCAGAGGTGGGCACAGACTGTTTCAGACCCAAGCTGGGAAGTCAGGACAGCAACAACCGCCACCAAAAACAATAGTGAGAGCAGAATACCAGCGCAATAGTGCAAGAAATGCATTATGGGAAAGTTAAGAGCACATGTGGGAGATACTTACTTTGAAGTTAATTTTGACCCGATATTCAATACCTTCCTTTAACACAAATGTTTCCTTTTTGAGGGCTTCGAGGTCACCTATAGGAGAGGATTTAGAAAGTTAATATCCTCAGGAGCTGCTACATAAAGAATGAAAATCAAGGTTCAGAGCCTTCTGCTGGGCCCATCTGGGGGATTCATAAGGATCTTAATTCAGATAGCATTTGAGATTAGTATACACACACACACACACACACACACACACACACACACACACACACACATCTATACTGCCTATAATCTTACAGTTCAGTTATTTAAATAGAACATAGTAACATGGTAAAGGGGTTTTCTGCAAGTTTGATGTCAATGCCAGAAACACACTTTATAATTAGTTGTAGTTATAAAGATAAATCCCTTTTTTCCCATAACTTCCAATTAATCTGATGAAGGTAAATATTTTTTATTATTGCCAGTAACAACAAAGTATCAATTAACCAGCTGCCTTAGAGGAAAGTTAGTTAATATTCTTTCTATTGAAAACTTCATGCACATCCATAGTCAGATAAAGATATGATGGTTTCTCAAAGAATATGAGGAAATAGACACAAGAACAACAGCTATTGGTGTTCATAAGATTGATAAGCTTTCAATAGGCTTTCTCTCCATTGATTCATATCATTGATATCATTATTATTACCAATTGCAAATTGGTAATATATGGCATATTCATGCTTTAAAAACTGCTTTTCAGCCGGGCGGTGATGACGCATGCCTTTAATCCCAGCACTCGGGAGGCAGAGGCAGGAGGATCTTTGTGAGTTCGAGGCCAGCCTGGTCTACAGAGCAAGATCCAGGAAAGGTGCAAAGCTACACAGAGAAACCCTGTCTCGAAAAACCAAAAAATAAATAAATAAATAGATAAATAGATAAATAAATAAATAAATAAAAACTGCTTTTCATTTTTATAATTATTTAATTAGGTTCTCACTTCAAACTTATTGGACTTGCATTTGCAATGTCATATCACACTATTTTCTGTAAGGAAGATCATTTAAATTGTAACAGCTGTAGTGTTCATAATCCTGAGAGCTGCCTTTAAATCCTGGGTCCTGCTTAGGGAGGTTATTATACTTTATTCTTTCCTCCATACACTCCTGTATAGTTCAGTTGTGTGTGCATGTATGTATGTGTGCATATGTATGTATGTATGTATGTGTATGTACGTGTGTGTCTCTGTGTGCCTATGTATGTATGTGTGTGTGCATGCATATGTATGTATTTATATGTACGTGTGTGTCACCGTGTATGTATGTGTGTGCGCATGTATTTATGTGTGTCTGTGTGTGTGTGTGTATGCACATGTGTGTGTTTCACACAACTTGGGGTATTTTACTTCCCAAACACCATTACATGGCTCCATCTCAGCAGCTTCCCTGGGACAGAAACCAAATTTGGATTTGCAGGAGCAGCTTTCGGGCCGTGTTCTCACTCTCTTCTGGACGCGTCCTCAGCACTGTCACACCCTACTCTTGCAAACTGACAGTTGTACCTGGCCGCAGGACAGGGGGCCGAGTCTGGGTGAGAGAGCCTGTTTCTGTCCTGGAGAGATGCTGCAATGTGGGGTCGTGTGTGTGTGTGTGTGTGTGTGTGTGTGTGTGTGTGTGTGTGTGTGTGTGTGGTCTCTGCTCTGCTGAATTCGGTTGAACAGGAAGCCTGTCCTCTCAGGCCCTGATTTCCTCCCTCTGACAGAAAAGTCCATATAAGGTAAAATGCACATGTCCTGTGAGAGGGAAGTTCCTGCGCTAGACGTACAGCCCAGAGGGTGCTTTCCTGTGCTTCAGTGAGTGAAGTCGTCAGCTGATTCCCCCTCCAGATCCACCTTTGATGCCCCATTTGGCTTCATGAGCCTCTTCTCACCCCCGGCAGATGCCTGCTTTCCCATGAAGTTCACCTTCCCAGTCAATGACCATCTCCTCTAGCCCTGCCTACGGAGAGTACTGGACTGTTAGTCACAAAAGGTGAAATGAACATCGTGGTTTTGGGGTTTTTTTTGGGTAGGAGAAATAGTTTATTGTATGGAGCTTTGAGCTTTGAGTGTGTTGAGCAGGGGAGTATCTATCGGTATTCGGGAGGTCTCCGGATGTTCCTCCCGTTCGGCTAAGGCCATAGCCGGGAGAGGATTGGAGCTTTTGTTGGTGTTCAGATATATAAATGCTGTAAGTCTAGAATTGCCATCTGCAGTCTTTCCTACAAGAACAGCTGCTTCTTCCTCCATGTGGAAATACAGATCTGAAGTAAACATCATACAAGTGAACACATCAAAAGTGAATGCTTGGAGGCTGGGGGATAACTAAGCCAGGGAAGTACTTGCCATGCAAGCCTGAGGACCTGACTTTGACCTCTGAACCCATGTCAAAAATTTCTCAGAAACAAATAATCTCTCCAAATAAAGAAAGCTGGGCATTGTAGCTCTGGAGAGATGAGACAGGGAGATCCCTTCCCTAGGGCTCACTGGCCAGACAGACTAGCCCAGGTGAGAGATTGTGAGGACTGTCACCTGAGGCTGACTTCTGACCTCCACAAGCATGTACACACATCCTATACACACAAAGGGTGTCTAACTTTCAACTGCTCCATTACATGGAGTCTGGAGCTGGATTTTTCATGAAGTGTAAGCAGTGGACACACACTCAGAGTGCAAATGGTTTGTAGACTGACCCCAGCATATACGTTTCCAAGGGCCACCTTAACGATTTTCTCCAGCGGGGATTGGGGACAGAGATCAAATTTTCCCTGTGTTGTCTCAGACCCCTCTGAACAGTAATGTGTTCACTTACCAGTAAGGTCCATGGTGATTGGTCCTGGTGCACTGTCACAAACAAGGCTAAGCCGGGTAACAGTCACATTGGGGACTGTTGGGTCTGCAGGGTTAAAGAGAAAATGTAAGTACAGGGAAAGGGTGTGTGTGTGTGTGTGTGTGTGTGTGTGTGTGTGTGTGTGTGTGTGTGTTTCGAGTTGTGAATGAGGGAAGAGAACATAAAGAGAAAATAACTTCTCTATGTGGAGTAGCATTAGAAACAAAATGGCAGATTCACTATGCTTAGTATTGAGCTCCATAGAAATGGCAACATTATGATTTTCTAATTCAGGGATTTGCTGACTGTGTTGGATACTTCTGTATCAAGTTGACAGGAACTAGAGTCATTTTGGAAGAGAAAGTGCCGCCACCAGACTGGCATGTGGGCAGGCCAATGGTGCATTTTCTTGATTGATTAACGTTGGGGGAGGGTCTAGCTTGTTATAAACTGTGTTTCCCCTGGGCTGGTATCCCGGGTGCTATAAGAAAGCAGGCTGAGGCTGCTGCTGGTGGTGGTGGCGCACACCTTTAATCCCAGCACTTGGGAGGCAGAGGCAGGCGGATCTCTGTGAGTTTGAGGCCAGCTTGGTCTACAGAGGGAGTTCCAGGACATCCAGGGCTACACAGTGAAACCCTGTCTTGAAAAAACAACAACAACAACAAAAAA